ATTAATTATGCCCCCCCACTGATTGCTTTGTTTTTGCTTAGTGCAGAAGATCTTTGTTTGTAAGGGTAATTTTGAAATTTGTCTGCATGTCGTTGTTCTTTGTACCTTTCAGTAGATTTCTTCTTGTCCAACTTAGATTTTGTGGGTCACTAAGTTTTTATTCCATTCACAGTACCTGGGTTCATTTTAGATTATATATTTTTAACTTATATCTCCCTGCTAGTAACCTTTTGTTGTATGGGAGGTCCTCAAATCAGCTTTATATATATATATATATATACATATATATGTATATGTATATATGTGTTGATTTGTTTTCAGTATAACTACTCACTAATAAGTTTCATCGTAATATATTCTAATTACTCCATTGTTTTTGGTTTAGCTAACACTAGTTAAGTTGTTTACTTCTACTTACCAGACACACAAAAGCACAGACATATACATGTATATGTATATCTATATATATACACAGACCCAAGTGCCGTATTAACTTAATTTCATCACCCACCATATCTACTTGTAACATTCATATATACATGGAGGTAATCTCATAATTACTTTAGTTTCTTTTGTAAGAGAAGTATTTTGCAATTAAGAGCTATATATATATACAGATATACACACACATGTATACAGGAACATGACAATATATACTTTTATTACGGTCTGCAATTCGTACTAGTGACCTCTCTCCATCTCTTTTTAACTTATCTCTACACATATCCCTTTCAATTTCTGCTGCACGTTATAAGTTACTTACTAATCATAATTACAGCTTGTTTCATCCTTGCCTTTTCTATCTCTCGTTTATAGTGCCCTCACCACTACAAAACTCTGTATGACTTTTTTCTTTTTGTTTTTTTAACACAGATATCTTCAAGACTGGTTAGCTTTATATATATATGTTTATATTTATATTTATATACATTCCTGATTCTGCATTATATTATATATATGTATATATGCCTGTATATGTTTGCCATAAACTTAACATGAAACTCTCCCCTATCTAGCTTCATTTCCTGCAGAGTTTTGTTTTAGATTGACTACAAAAACCTATATATACACTGCTCGGCCAAATGTATATATTCAATACTTGGGTAAATTACTAAGGTAATAATGTATGATTGTTGACTTTGATTTTGTTAGTGACTTGGAAAAAAAGAAGATCAATTACAGGCAGTATATGTGTTTAATTTACTCTTTTAGGATATGCCATTACTTGGAGAACAACTTTACAAATCTATATATATATAGTTGCCTTACATAGCTAGCTACCACAGAGATAGAATAGATGACTACTAATTATCTTCAAGCCACTAAGTTAAGCTTTATGGTCTGGCTAGCTTCAAGGTCTGATTATTGGTATCAAATTAGAGAAAACTATTAAATTAAGAATGGCCTTATGTGATAATGAAATACTAGAATCTATTTCAATTATGAAACCAATAACACAATTTTCTAATAGTTAGAATTTTTATGTTTTATTTGAAAGTTACGAATTCTAACTTTCCTAAAAACGTAGAACTTGTTACTTATAGATATCTTATGAATTAACGGTGACTAACTTATTGTTTAATAGAGTCAAGAACTTAATTTATTAGTACGTTGATGGAGTTCCGGTGGCCACTTGAGCTAAGTATGAGCAAAGTTATCGTGTTTCTGACAAAGTGAACATTTCATAATGCTAAGTTTTTCTCAATTTGAGTAACAAAAACGAGTTAAAATCTGATCTAATATTTTTATGGATAAAAAAAATTATATAACATACTTGGTTCTTATTAAGATATAAAAACTAATCACGAAATAATTTCTCTTTCTCTTCGAATGTTTCTTAATTATCTTTAATAATTTCTCCATCGAACCCAATAACGAGAATCAGTTTTATCATATCGTAAATAAAATAACTCAGTTTGGAATTGATTCTTGCAGGTTAATGTTGAAATGAATCAAATGGAGGTGATGACATGAGATTCAAGGAGAGAGAAGTGATTGAAAGTGTGAGTTGCTTGTGTTGATTTAAGATTTTTGTCAATATTGGCATGCAATATATATATATATAGTATATATAACTCAGGAGTTGATTGTTTACATATATATATTGCTTCCAGAAACTTGTTGCTTAGGCTTCTCCATTTTGTTTGCAATTATGTCGAAATTTATAAGCTTTTTCTTTTATTAGATCAGGAACGTAAGTCATTTTACTTGCATTTCAATCTCTTTATAAGCAAATATTTCTACAGCTTGGAACATTATGAACACAATATATATATATATATATATATATATACACATATATAATGATTTGTTAATTTATTTGTTGATTCACTTGTCATTACTTTGTATTATATCATGTAAGCTCAAGCCTTTGGCAATTATAATTATAGTTGGCACGTCGTAGCATTGCATGCCCATGAGAAAAATCACAAAAACATGTATGGTAGTGGAGAATATAAATTATTATATTGTTTGTTGTATAATTAATTTTGTATTTATGGTGTAAAAATATGTATTTAATTTATTTCACTATTACTTTGCAAACATGATTGTAGACATGTCTATATTGTGGTATCGTAATATTATAAATTATATTTGCTATTTCATCTAATAATATGGTATCAAACCCAAATAATAAACTCTGAAACAATCTCTCTCTCATCTTTATCATAAATCACTCACGATCATAATTTCTATAACCACTTCTAATTGAATACTAGCATGTTTCTATAATCGAGTTTTGGTTTATATATATATATATATATATATATATATATATGTATATCAATATAGAATTTGCTAGCAATTGCTACATTTTCTATCATCTTTAATAATGTCATCTCTTTTACTTCAATAAGAGTGTCTTTATCATTTAAAAACTTACTTCTCCGTAAATATCACAAGCTGACACTTTGCCCTACTTTAAAATCGTGCATCGATCACATGTTGTCTCGAATGCATTATTCATAAGTTATTATTTTAGTAGGTACTGTCTTTTGTTAATTTTATGACGACTATTTTATCTGTATAGTTTAATATAATTTTTTAGTTACTGTCAAAATTTGTCAATTCTAATATGTAAAAAAAAATGTTACGGGTTGTGGGATTGATTATTGATGTTGGGCATGGCTCATGTGTGTACTTTGTTGGAATTTAATAATTATCTCATCTTCTTAGACCAACAAAAAAATTTTACCTTTAAAAAAAATCAATTCGATCATATCGTCCATGTCCTCCTCCCTAAAATACTCTCTCACTTTTCATATTCCATCAAACTCAACCATCATCAGTTATCTTTTACGGAAGATACAATTTTAGTTTATACTTAACTATCAAAACTTTTCAGGCTATATCGATGGCTCTCTATCCTCTCCTCCGAATTAATAATTGATCTTAATAGTTCCTCCACCACGAATCCTAAATATATCATTCGGTTTTAAAAAAAACACTATATATGCTCGTGACAATAATATCTTCTTCTATAAGAAGATATATTTTCATATCTATTAGACCCGTCAACCACAACTAAGTAGAATCTTTTAAGAATTGCAATACAATGACAAATACGTATCTAAATGCCTAAAAGTAGGTAAGTTTTATTGCATATGCATATGCAACTAATGATAGACTTATTTATTGGAGGATTTAATGCAATCATATTTTGCAATCTTGTATTAAACTACAATTCCCTTACTACTACTACTCTTAAATTAACTAGTCATGTCTCAAGTAAAGTTTTTAATTTAATACACTATGATTAATAAGGTTCTACACTAATTTTTCTCGTTGCAAAGGTCGAAAATATTTGTATCGGTGGTTAACATGTATTGTATATTTCTCGAATTTAATGTGTTGGTAATAAAAATAATTTTTTATTTCTTAAAATAGGTTAAACAACAATTAAAATATCTACTCTTTAACTTCATAGATTAAATCCAGTCCAAAATCAAATCTCAAATTCAGGCCGACCAACGAAGACAAATACAAATACAAATACAAATACAAATACAAATCTTACTCAGGCCCACATATGGCTTGGCCCAACCTCACGAATGGCTCCACAAAACGAGGTCGTTTTAAGGACCTTCATGAGGGCTCCCACTTTGACTCCTTAAAACAACGTCGTTTTGAGGAGCAATGTAAGAGTTCCCACTCTCCTCCACTTCTTCCTCACCTGTGACACAAAAGGATATGTTCCATGCCATTAATGTCAATTATCAAGCACAAATAAATGTCAAGTCTGTACCAGTTTTGGAATTGTGTTAATTATGACATCTGACTTCCAACTAATTTATTTGACACATGAGAAACTTAACAAGAAAATTTACCAACTTTGAAAAACTAGTGTATATATATATATATATATATATAAAACATGTATATATAAGAAACGATTCAGCAATCAGGAACAGATTTGCTGTCTGAAAAACTAGAGTTCCTATCAATTTTCTTCTTCCAACACTGATGCTTCAAACATTGACACTGACTCTTCTTCTTCTCATTCAACATGGTCATCCCTTCTTCCCCTCCATCATCTCCTTTCTCATCACTGATCTCATAATCCCCCATTGATGGTGAACCCAACTTACCAGTCTCCTTTCCTTCTTCACCGCCACTAAAATTCTCCCTGCAATTTCTCCTCCAAAACTCTCTCATTCTCTCCCTAACTCCACACCATCTCTCCTCATGTCTCCCCTCACAAAACCCACATTTCATATCCGAACCTTTCATTCTCTTCACTTGCTCGTACCCAAATGCAAGCCTCAATGCCTCTTTTAGAGTCTCTGGTTTTTGTGGGATTACCCATTCTTGAATCTCCTCCTTTAATCCATCCACGAACACCACTTTGACCAAATTATCTTCAATCCCATTCTCAGGCCATCTCTTCAATATCCATTGAAACCTCAAAAAGTATGATCTCACAGACTCTTCCCTTCCTTGATTCATCATCATCAATTCATGCCTCAACTGCTCTGTTAGGTTAATTTGTTGGTAAGCCTGCAAAAACGAGGACTTCATCTCTTCCCAAGAAAGTGAAAAGAAGTAGGGTTCAATGTTTAGATCGTACCAAAGTGCTGCCTCGCTTTCAAGAGTAACGGGGAAAATCCTCATCAGAGCATCTGGGAATTCCACGTTGTTTGCTCTGCAAACTTTTATGAACCGGCTTAGATGGGAAACAGGGCATTCATTGGAATTTCCATGGAAGATCGGTAGAGGTGCCACATTAATATATGAACAATAAGGTTCGAAATTTCCCCCTGGAAAATCTCGAGAATCTACTACTTCTGGGTTGTTTAGACCAGATCTTGATCTGGGAACTGATTCACTGCATCTGGGTTCGGATGGAGAGTCAGTGCAAGAGGCATCCATGGGTGGTTCAGATTCATCTTCTTGAGATTGATAAGGAGACGGAGAGTCAGAATTCTCAGTATAATTTTCATGGATTTGGTGTTCTTTGGTGGGTAATCTACGATGTCTGCGTCGAGAATAGTTTGTGCTGCTAGATTCTGAGAGGAATTTGTGTGATGGAGATGGTTTTTTAGATTTGTGAGCCATCTTCGATTTGATTTATCAGAGAAAAAATTAAATGAATTTGCCAACCGAGAACTCAGTTTCTTCCTTCGCGGATCAAATGCATCGCTGAAAAGACTTGTAGAATGCTGACGACTTTTGGATGAAGGGATAGGGACGCGCAAAAAACAAAATATATATATATATATATATATACACACACACACACCAAACTAGGTGTATATATATATATATATATTTTTTTTTTTTCTCTTTTGATTTTATCATAAATTGCCTAAAATAAGAGGCAAACGTAGATCATTTCTTTTTTGGTCATTTATATATATATATAGACACCAAAGTATGGATCTTTACAAATGCTCATTATATATATATATATATATATATTTAAATTTATTGGTAAATTGCCTAAAATAAGAGTCGAACTTAGTTCACTTCTGTGGAGGTGACCAAAAATAGTATATATATTTAAAATATATATATATATGTTTGAATAATTTAAAATATTAAAATATATATTTAAAAATTTTGTGTTCTTTGTGGCCAAAATTTAAAAGGTAATTAATTTTTTTATAAAAAAAACTTATTTGACAAATAAAAAAAATATTAATAAAAAAAAAGGCACAGTCATTGAGAATCAGCGTCCCGTTGCTCACGCGCCTAAGTCCCACCTTAGGCGTCGACTCGACCTTACTAAACCATCTCCCTCATAAACCCAAACGAATACATGCAGTCTTCAAAATCCTCACCATCACCGGCCGATACTCCTAATCTCGCTCACCGTCCAACTGTTTTCCACCACGTCTGCACCGCCGTCAACAATGGATGCAGTTGCGGGCACTCCGTCATCAGGCCGTGACGACTGCTGGAGCGAGGACGCCACCTTCACGCTCATCGAGTCATGGGGCGACCGCTTCCTCCAGCTCAACCGCGGTAACTTACGGCAGAAGCATTGGCAGGAGGTTGCAAACGCCGTCAACGACCGTCACGTTCATGTCTCCGCCGCTGGTAAACCCCAGCCTTTCCGTACAGATATCCAGTGTAAAAACCGCATTGATACTCTTAAGAAGAAGTATAAGATCGAGAAGGCTAGGGTTTTAGATTCCGGCGGTTCCTACACTAGTTCCTGGCTTTTTTTCCCCGGCCTCGATGCTCTTCTCGGTCCGAACTTCCCGACCGCCGGGACTTCCCCGCCGGTTACTATCCCCAAGTTCACTCCTCCGGCATTGGCGATCTCTCCGATTCCGGTGGGACCTAGATCGGCGACGCCGAGGCGGCCAGCGTCGTTGACGGCGGATGACTCTAGCTTCCGCCGCAACTTCTCGGCTTTTGCCGCTGCTGCTGCCGCCGCTGCCGCTGCTGCTGAGGAAAATTGCTCGGAGAGTTCAAGGTCGAGTGGCGGGAGCGGAAGTACGCGGAGGAGGAAGAGAACTAGGACGGTGGAGAGCGAGGTGGGGTACAGGGAGTTGGCTGACGCCATAGATAGGCTAGGGGAGATATACAAGAGAGTAGAGGAGAGGAAGCAGAAGCAGATGGTCGAGTTGGAGAAGCATAGGATGCAATTCGCCAAGGATTTGGAGTGCCAGAGGATGCAGCTCTTTGTGGAGACTCAAGTTCAGCTTCACAAGCTGAAGCGCGCCGCTGCTAAGCGGTCATCTGCTGGTAAGACTTGAGAATCTTCTTTCATTTTGAAATCATGATACTCTGTTTTACCGGCGCATAGTAATTCTCCAAAACTGTTAGCAGTACCTTGACTGATTTCGATAATCATTTGTTTCTGTTTGGACTGTCAACATGATGAAATTTCTTTTGCTAGGTAAGTAATTTTTGGCGATTATGTTAGAGCATGTGCTTTTATTTTCTTTTTCTTTTCTTTTCTTTTCTTTTCTTTTCATTTCTGTATATATTATTCTTCTTCTTTTAACTTAAAATTCGATTTATGAAGTTACAGTTTAGGCTTATGGCTTTACATGATCTCACGTGTCAATGACCTCCTTGATTCTCGTGACAACCATTAAAACTTGGTAGTTTGTTTTGACTTCTAATGGGATCTTAGTGGGGAATAATTGAATTTGAAGGGAGTGTTGGGGGAGGGGGGAGGAGAGAGAGAGACAGAGAGAGACAGAGAGTAGTGAATGGTAAAGGAATTTTGCACCTCTGCAAGAGATATAACTATTTGATTAATTTTTAAGCACCAGATCAATTTGTTTTGCATGATATACGATTTTCCATGATAATATAGCAAACTAGATTCTAAAGTGATCCTCCTTTTTTTCTTTTTCAACTAGAAAATTCGTCACCTGAGAGTGAAAAGGACAGTCCTTTCCCTTGTTTTGGAGCGTCATGGAACTTGTTAGCGATGAATTGCTATTCTTTGAGCTGCGATCTTGATGGCGGTCTGATTTTCTAGGTACACATCCTGTATATTGTTTTCTCTAGTAGCCAATAATCTTCCAATTATAAAAGAAATTGGAAACATGTTAGAGTAATATGAAGCAAGCTTTTAGTTTCTTCATCATTCTCTGGCAATGCTGGACCATCGGCCACTATAGGCTTTTTATGCAATACCATTATCCAAATGTTTCATGTCTTGCATATGTGAATTTTGGTGCAATCATGATTTTTAAGTGGCTGTGGTGAATCGTAAGTGGGACAACAATTCTTAAGGTTCATTTGAACTTTTTGGTTAATCTATTTATTTCATCATTTAAGCCAAATAGATATTTTTTGTGGTGTGGACATTATCAAAGTGGATAGCTTTTACTATTTTGACAATGATCATTTCATGATGGTACGTAATATTTCTCATAGAGATATCTAGTACATCTTTATATTAGTTTGTCAAGGTAGGATCTCTCTGTATCTTCTCTCTTCTTCTTCTGGTTGATATGTTATATGGGTAAAGTGCATCAGTGCCAAATTTTAATCACTGAGCACCTTAAATCACTGAAGTTTCTGTCTGAAGAAATAGATCTTCAATCTTTCAATTACCACAATGGTGACAGTTCCATCTTTGTTAAAATTTAGAAATCACATGGGTATAAATACTGAATATTCCCTCTTCCTGTCAAAAACAGTTATTTTTTGGACATCCTAATATTTTGAATTGCAGATCTGATGTTAACTTTATAATCACCTAAAAGATAGAAGGTTTTGTTCAAAAAGAAAGTTCTATGGGTCTGTGCGTGAAATACAGGGACTTGTACTGTGAATTACCTATGTGATATCCAATGCAAATAAATGTTTAAATCATTAAGGTATTAGAAAATATTTACATTTTTGGAAGAGTTCATTGGTTAGTAGCTGTAGAAAACTTCAGATTCTTTAATTCACCATTCTGAAATGTCAAATTTTATTACTTGTAATATTGAACATTTTATGGACAAGTTGTCTAAGATTCTCTGTGGAGTTTGTCTACTCTGTTATGTGAGGTTATTTTACATTTTAGTTTTTTTCAATTGATGATGTGCTTAGGAGACTCAAGCAATCCTTTATGAGGCTTCTAAGTTCTTGAAGTGGATTCCTTGATGTTCAGTACACAGTTTCTTATAACTCTACTTCGATAAGATTCTTGAAAATGAGGGTGGAACAACAATGCAGGGATTGTACTTTTAGGCCTAACTATCTTTGAAGTTTCAGATACAGCTATTATCGATATTTACATATACATATCAAATTGATTTATGGGATTTTTCAGCTGATAGTCAAATCTATAGTATCAGAAAATTTTCTGGATTACATATGCAAAAATTTAAGCCATATTGTATGCTAGCAATTGAATTGACAACTTACAGATAATGTACAGTTTAACTGACTTGAATTAAGTGCCTTACTATATAGTTATATTCAGTGATTGCTGTTGGTTTAAGTTCAAAAAAAAAAAGTTTAATCAATCCTCGAAATATGACCAGGGGAACTGTTTGATGTCACTCATCAACCTGATGAGTGAACCTGTAGTACATTTTAAAGTGGACACATAAATCATAAAACACCTATTGGGGAAATATCTTGCTTTGTTCTTTAGGTCTAATTCCATCCACATGGTGGATTGAACCTGAGCCTGGCCCAATTGAGCTAATGCTCTAGTTAAAAACTTTTTTTGTTACTATCTGAAGTTTCTAAAACTAATTTTTTAATATATATATATATATATATATACATATGGAAGCAAGATTTCTCATTGAAGCAAGAATTCTCATGGGAAATTGTTGTGGTCCCACTTTAGATATTGTTATGGTATCAATTGGTATGGGCTTGTTAAGGAGAATTCAATGATCTCCAAGAGTTTGAAAGATGCACAGAACCTTTCTGGAATTACTTTTCTGCTTAATCTTTATTTAGATCATGCTCTGTGGTCTTTTATATCAAAGTTACCACTGTCCTAATGATAACTGCCTGCCAGGATAGAAGTAACTGCTTACATAACTGTAGGATCTGTCCTTACAACTTATCTTAACTGTCTAATTATGTAACTGTGCAACTAAATATAACTACATAAGTATATAAAATAAGATTCCAAACCATGTGTCTTTGGCTCCTGACATTTAATCCACCCTCAACAAGTGAGACCTCAAGTGTCAAAGTTGGGTAGTTTCTAGATGCTGCCACAGGGAACAAGCAACCCAGTAGATGATGGAATTTTTCCATTGCAGCACCATAATCTGCTCATGCTGGTTTTACATCATTACCTGCTTAATTTCTGGTTGTAGAAAAAATTGACAATAGGAACTCTTAGAAGGGGACAATTCTGTTGGTTCTGTGAAGATACATGTGAATGTTGTGATGAAGTGCACCGTAAACTGGATGAAGGAATTGCAGAACATCCAAAATCTAGAGTTTGTCCTGAGTTGATGAAGTCCAAGCTATAGATCGGGGAAATTTCAAAATAAATTCCCGGTTGATCTCAAAGCAACTAGAAAGTCTGCCACAGGCCGCCATAATTTCTATTTTCTTCCCCGTGACAGAAATAATTTCTACAACCAGCTCTCCTTTTATTGCAGGATAATTTTCTATCCCACTTCAGGTTCTTGCAGAATTTAATAGTCCCATGTGTACCAAAGTTACTGTTAAGATACAATCTTTTTTTCCCTGACAATTTCTGGATATTTAAATGGAGGATGCAGCTGAGAAGATAAGAACTTGACTAGCGCCTGAAACTGGGTAGGGTCAGGTAGCTAAAAATCTCCCTTGCCTTTGGAACAATCTGCAGACTGATCCCCAGATAATGCTTCCAGGAGATTCACTAGAACTTCTTGTTGGGCAGCAAAAGCTATCCTGTCTTGCTTCCACTCAATACATTCCTTTGCCCAAACCTCTTAGCACCACTTAAGAAACTTCTCAATCTTTTGCTCGAGAAAGAGATAATGATCCTAATTGATAAGCTCTGGTACCTAACTTTATGGTTGCTACTTTATGATTTTTTGTGTGATTATTGGTGTAGACTTGTTAAAAGAGAAGTCAAGGACCTCCAAGAGTTTGAAAACTCAATTAACTTTTTTGTGGAATTACTTATCTGCGTAATCTATTTTAACATCATGCTTTGGTCTTTTACTACAGAGTTAGAACTGCCCTAATGATCAGTAACTTCCAGGACAGAAGTGACTCCTCCCCCATCTACAAGAGCTACCTTTATAACTTAGCTTAACTGCCTAATAATATAAGTACATAATAAATAAAACAAGAGCAATTAGCCTTGTGTTTTTAGCTCTTAACAGGGAGCCTATGTTTTTCCTTTTATCTCAGTCACTGTTTTGACAAAGCGGTAAACTTAAATTAAATTAAAATTATTTTTTTAAGTTAAAGTAAATGGAGGAGATTATGTTTTCATTTTCATCTTGATCACTGCTTTGGCAAAGCAGTAAGCTTGTGTGTAATTTGACTTTTGTCTTGTTTTTTTTTTTAATTCAATTGAAGAAAAAAGAAATAGGTGGGTGTTTCAGTAAAACTATAATATTGAAATTTTTTTCAATCAATTAACCAAATACTAAGATACCATTTTTTTTTACCAGATTGACTAAACTTTTATCGGTTCAGTTTTTGCTTTTTCCTTTCCAAACTTTAACCTCTACAAAAGATATGGAATCTTCCATCAAAACTACCCTTCATACTAAGAGTCATTATGGAACCTTTGGTTGTTATTGAGACCTTTGGAAAGAATCCTTGCTTGTCTTCTCATTCTACACTACAGTTAATGGTCAACCATTTTGTACTGAAATCATGATATTGTGCTGTTTGTTTATTTAAAATTACTCTCTATTCCCTTGCCTGAACTGACAATCCTCTTGAATTATACTCGCACATTGGAAATTGTGTATTCAATTTTGTGATGTTTCTTACAGACGAATCTTCATGGAAAGCTCTAATATGGCAGCAAATTAGAATTGGATCTCGTTCCTCCCTGAATATGAGCTTTGTCTTCATTGGGGTTCATGAAGTAGCTACCTGATCTGAATGGCTGGACAGTAATTTCCATGAACATTTTGTTTCTGTTGGTGACCTTTCTCAGTTTATGAAGTTATGCTAGAGGTTTTGAAACCATGTGATAAAATAGTGATTCTCTGCAAAATGATTATGTTAGAATCCTTGTCAAGTCCAACACATGATAGATGATAAACTTTGCTGAACTTACTAACAAGTTTCTTATGTTATTTAACTCAATTTGTCCTATAAAATTGATTGCACTGAAGTTGAAGTTGCTTATAGAGCTATACCCTATTAACTTGCTTTTCTAAAGTGGGGTTTTGATTTATTGCAGAAAATTACTGATAGTTGGGAGGTGCTGTACTGCCAGGCAATGTTCTTGACTTAAAGGCATAGGTGGAATAGATCCAGATAAGCGAACATATTATGACTACAGGTCTTTTGTTTTTTATCCTTTTTCAGGGAACATATTTGAAACTTGGATGAAAAGTTGGCTCTTCTTGTAATGCCTCCTTTTTTGAAGTGATTTGTTTTTCGTTTTTAAGCTGTAAATCACCAGGAGGGCTGAACCAGGATTAAAATTTGTCAATATCTTGCTAAATTATACAAAGTATTTTCCTTTTTTGATCTCTCCTTCTCATACCTGTATGTGTTTCACCTTCTGTTGCTCATATGTTTTGGGCTTGGGATCTTAAAAATGCTGAGAGAATGCACCCAACTAATTAGTAATGTATGTTACTGATTGATTTTTGCACATGCAGCGAGCTCGATTACCGACATTAAAAAACTTTGTTGTTGTTCTGTGGATAGCTTGATGTATTTCAGACCCAATCAAGTATGGAGAGTTTGCATATGTTCTTGCATATATGCGGCTATCTTTGTTTGAGCTGTCAAATTCGTTAAAGCTGTCTTCTTTATGGCTATCTTTGCCATAAATTTTGAGGTCGCTTAGAAATTCATTTGCAAATTTATACTTGTTTACTCTCTCTCTCTCTCTCTCTCTCTCTCTATATATATATATATATAAAAGTGGTCTTGTTTAAGGATATTTGTTTTGTCATATCCTGCTATAAGTGAATGTAATCTTGGTACAACTTGTTTATAACATGTGATTTATCATATTCATAATTTTTTATAAAAAAAATAGTTTAAATAACTGTAAAGGTAATTTGGAAAGATTTAAAAGATTTGGGGCAAATATGAATTTTAGAGGGAGAAAGAAATAGAGAGAGAAATAAAGATGTTTTAGAAGAGAGATTATACATACATATAGAGAGAGAGAGAGAGGCTGCTAGAGAGAGAAAGAGAGAAATGTAGAGAGAAAAAAAGATAAAAAATTTAGAGAAAATAATAAATTGAGATTTTATTCAATAAAATTACTAGTTTTGATTTAATTTACAATTATTATTAATAGAAATAAAATGATACATGAGAACTTTTATCAACTATTATAATTGTTGGGATATACGAAAATCTTTATTAATTATTATAATTGTTCAGAAATTTTAAAAATAGTTTATAAAAATTGTAAAATTAACGTGATATCAATATTGTCGAGTTTTGATAGATTAATATAAACTACTAATTTTAAGATATTATTTTATTTCATTTAATAATATTAGAGTAAATATTCAAAAATTATATAGATTTTTTTTTATGTGAACAAGTTTGTTAGATTGACTTAATTACTAGTATACCCTTGTAATTGTTTGCCATGAAATTTCTTATTTGTGAATCTCTAATAATAAAAAATTTGACTTTAATTATTCCATATTTATGCATACAACATCATGCTTTGGTATTATAAAATTAGAGTATACTTTTCATAAAATTAGAGTGTACTTTTACGTGTCCTAATTAAAATAGTTATTATGTATGACTTTGGTTATATAGAATTATGTAAGTAGTTAGCATCTATTAGTCTAAGCATAAAGGATACGTACCATCTTAAATATATATATATATGTGTGTGTGTGTGTCATTACAATGATAATAAAATTTGTGGCTACAATAAGATGTGCCTTGAGAGAAAAAGCACGAACCATCGATCTACAATAACACGTGTAGATGTACTTGGACCAATAAGGCTTGACAATTGTCAATCTTTGATTCATTTGGTGGGTAATCTTATAAGAAAATATTCTTGGAGTTTAGGACTTGATAAAAAAAATGTCATCTAAACATATGATATAGTTCTTATGCATGATTTATTGTTTGAGTAAAATATCAAAATACTCCTTAAACTATATAAAAACATTCAATATTCTCTAATAATATTCAATCTCACTGACGAAGAATAAGATATAGATAAATTATGTCATGATAATTTTAAATTTACTAATATGACATCTACGTTTGTATTTATATAAATACTATGTTACCAAACTATTTTACCCATTTTTATTCATATTTTCACTCTTTTTTACTTTCTTTCATTTTTTTTTTCTTCTTCCGAGAGATACTATCAACATACATTAATAGACGGGAGAAAGTAATCAAAATTTCGTCTCAAGCCCTCTTATATCACTATGAACAACCACCATATCTAGCATACAAAAAGAAATCGAAGAAAACATACCAAAAACCCAAATGCATCCAAGAGAAAGCAAAAGAAAACTCGAAAAACTCCACATTTTCTTTCAGCTATTTCAAGCTTACAAAACCTTTTTCTTTGTTTTACTCTTTATCCTCCTATAAAATCATAATTATTCATATTACCCACAAATAAGAGTTTGCTTATAATACTAGTAGTCACTTGATTTAAGGCAACGCGTATACAATTTTTGATCAAGTGGTAAAATTCTTTTCATTTTTCAAGTTAAGAATTCGAGTATTGTCAGGTGTGTTTTCTGAATAATATGACAAGTTAATTTAATAATAAATGTTGAATTTTTTTTTTATGTATAGTTGACTATTTTAAAATATTAAAATATTTTATTATTTTTTTTAATAATTTATTATTCTCTTGATTATCAGTTAGTAGCACGTCAATTCTTAAAATATATTAAAAAAATATATAATCAATTAAAATTCAAATCAATAACAAACAATTAAAGTTCAAATTGGTTTCTTTTTTTTTAAAAAAAAAAGTGAAATAAAATTTTCAAAAATTTTCAAATTGTTTTCAATCCCTAAAATAAGAAAAGTACATAACTTTGACTTGGATACCAAATTGATAGTGTGACGTAGTGGGTTAGTCCCCCTTGGTCCTCCACACCCACATAATTATAATCAATAATGTAATTATTTAATGTCTTAAAATTTAATTATACAAAAATGAAAACCATGTCGGTCAATACTTACACCAAAACCCAAAATAGTATATCCTTTTCCACGGAAAATGACAAAGGAAAATTAATAAATTCAATTTTCTTATTTAAAATTTAAAAATGTATTTAATTATTTAATTTTTTTTTTAGTGAAATAATTGATGTTTTTAAATAATTGTGCTCATTTTTAAGAACAAACATATAAATTTATATATATATATATATATATATATAGTTAAAGCCCAAAACCAAGTATCATGCATTTAGATAATTAAATTTTGCATATAATTAGGAAGAGATGGTAATTAACATAGGGTGTGCAAAAAGTTGATTAGGGTAATTAATTTAGTAAACAAAATCAAGGATGAATTACTTTACTAATTAATTAATTAATGATAATAATTATTATAGATTGTGGGTTGATGGGAAAAGGCAATAAGTCAAAGTTGTCAAATTTTAGTTTCAATGAAGCAAATTATACCATGTCTTAAAATTTGTGGGTTACACTTATTATGATTTGAAGGATTACAAGCAATGTTGGGTTAATCTAATCTAAGCTTATTAATTAATTAATTAATTAATATTAAGTAGAATGGTATTGATAATTAATAATATGCTTTTCTAATCAAAACCCAACAAGATTGATCTCTAGTTTTCAATCCCCAACAAAATTTAAAACATATGTCGGCATTATGTACAAGAAATATATATATATATATATATAAATTGTATAATGCATTAATTTAACTTAATTTGTAATTACTGAATTGATAATTGAATAGAGAAAGTGGGTATGCATTATAACCCCATCGAAAATTGTAGGATTTGTTTGGAAGTCATTTTCGTTACCCAAAAAAAATAGATAGCGGAGGATCTTTTTGCTACCTAGATGAGAACCATGTCAATGTCTACCAAGGTTGCATGATCCAAGTTGTTGAATGGAATGGTGTGAGTGTTTGTATTGAATCTTTTCTTTTCTTTTTTTTTTTTTTTTGTTTTGTTTTAGTGATGTAAAGGGTATATAAATTTATAATGTGCATGAACTTGGAAATATTTAAATACTCTTAAGAAATAATCAATTGGTTGGTAGGACTAAAAAAAACTTTAAGTTAAAAATTTTATTAAGAAATAATCAATTACACCAATGTTCTTTTATGTCATTAGTAGATAAAATGATTTTTGAAGATTATCAACTTAACATTTTTTTACTCTTTATTACTATTTTAATGTTGAAATATATATATATATATTAATTATATTTAAAAGATTTGATATGAACTATAAGAGAATTAGAACCGCTATGAATTAGAGATGAAAACTAAGTTAAGATTAGCACTTGATGAAATTATGTAAGAAAAGCTCTTTAGTAATAAAAATTGAGAAGAAACACATCCATTATATAACCTGATTATATTATGAACAATATCTACCCATATTAATAATATGTGAGATCTGAATGCAAGTACGCTCTATGATCCTAACAACATTATAGAAATTTTTATCGAATTTTATAATAAACTTTGCGAAGATGATATTCAAATAGCTTTACAAAAAATTATAATACATACGTTACTATCTAAAAAAACGTTAACAAAAATATGTTCAAATACAACTTTTGTACAAAATATCTACACGTGTTTGAATTTTTAATTTACAATAACGTAAAATTTAAATATTAAATAAATTGAAATAATAAATAATTTATTTAAAAAAATATAAAATAAAACACGCGAAATTACTGATTACGCACGGACCACATTATTGAGACTACAATAAAACAAAAACCGTATATGAATTTCAAAAAAGAAAAAAAAGGGTATAATGAAGAAATTTTGTAAGGTGTTTGGTATATGAGTGGTGGTCCAAAATTTGAAACTTAATTTGTATGAGTCAATTAATGAATTGATGGTGGTGTTGATGAATAAGTTTGGATTGTGGTTAGAATCAAGCCTAACAAATCCAAAGATGGGATTGAATTTTTTGGTAATGAATTATTATTGGAGTGATCAAAACTTCAAAGTCAAGCAAGTTTGTTGCATTGAGGGGGTCCAACTACATAATGTATTTTTTATACATCTTTTTTTTTCTACATGTTGTGGAAATTGTTGGGGGGCTCCTCTTTTAACTTTCATATCACAATTCCCCAAAAAAATTGGATAAGAAGATTGTAACACCCAACATTTTAATTATTTTTATTTTTATTTTTATTTTATTTTTATATAAATATAATTATTTATTAATTTAATTTATTTTATTTTATTTTATTTTGATTTAAATAATAATAATAATAATAATAAAGGTGAAAAAAATAACTAAAAATTTAATTGAAAACAATTTTGGAGAAAAGTTGTGAAAATTTG